CAGTGGTAGCCCCACTTCCCTATTGAACTTCTGGAAGGGTTTTTGTGCATGCACTTCTGGGCTGGAAGAGGTCACTTAGGCTAATTTCTCATGGGGTTTCTCGATCATTTTTCAATCTGGTGTGTATTTCAGGTTTTTGCTGGAATAGATATGTGAGCTGGGTGGTCCAGCTCCCCTGCTGACAGCCATCTTGGCTCAAAGTCATCTCTTTAAAGGATGGCAGTTGACTGCCTTGTTGTGGTTGTTCTGCATTTCAGTTGAGTCCGTCTCTTTGTGGCTCCATATGGTTTTCTTGGCAAAGATACTGGAATGGTTTGCCATTTTCTTCTCCAGTTTATTACACAGATGAGGACCTGAGGCAAACAGATGTAAGTGACTTGCCCAGGGTCACACAGCTAGTAGGCTGGATTTGAATTTGGGTCTTTCTGATTCAAGGCCCAACACTTTGTCTATTGCGCCACCTAGCCACAATTGCTAAAAACAACAACAGGAATTAATCGGGACTTGTATGATTTTTGATGCATGATAATGATTGTTTTTTCTGTTAAAAATAATGAATAAAAATGTTCAGATTTTGGAAATATGTGTATTTATGTATACATATACACAGACGAGAGATTTGGACTAAATAACCTCCAGGGTCTCATCTGGCCCCAGATGTATGATCTTTTAACTTTGCTGGAATGACTTGTTTGAATATCTCTCCCTTACTGCTGTTATATACTTCTTAAGACCTTAACATATTCTTGTAGAATTCAATGCCCATCCAACTCAGTTCATTTTACACCAGAGAAAACTCTGTTTATCTTCCCACCACCATCACTGGGAACAAAACCACTGTAACACATACATAGTCTAGCAAAACAAATTTTTACATTGGCCATATCCAAAAAATAAATATCTTCTTTTTTGCACTGTGAATTGTAGAGCTAAATCTTGACTTTCAAGGTGGCAGAGTCTAAAGAAGAATGGTATGGAAGACCTGTGCAGAGGAGATGGAAGGAAACAAAAGAGAAAGATTGAAGGGAAGAGTCAGGGGTTGATTAGAACAAGATCCTGAGGAAGGTGAGATGCTTCTTAGGCCTTGATGAGGAGGAAAGCCTAACTCTTAGTTTGGAGGAAAGAAGTCAATGATTTGATGGCATAAAGAGAGATTTTGAGGTATAGGAAGAGACTTGAGGAAACCTGAGATGTATGGATTCAGTCTTTTCAGGTAAGTAGGACATGACTGAGAGAAAGGGATGGGTGTGGAATTGTGGGGAATGTGATAGGGAATTTAAAAAAAAATAGTATCTGAAAGAGAGGTCTGGCTTGGTATGGAGACATTGAAGAACCAAAGCAATTCCTAGTTTGCTAAATGGTAATTTGAAAGAGAAGATATTTTATAGCTATTTTAGTTATAAAACCTTTCAGATAGATTTATCGTGAGTTTTAAGACTGTTATTTATTTTAAAACTACATATTTCCTGCTAGTTGTAAAACTGATAAAGCAAGCTGTTGTTTTTGGCTTCCTTTTAAAGATGTTTCAGGTTTAACAAACCATCAATTTTATTGTTAAACTCATTTCAACAGATTTTAATTGAGCAATTGTTCTTCATTTTTTCATCTTTATATTGCTTGTACTTTTGCATGGATAGATGATTCTTATTATGTACACTGATAAATACTGTGGATGTAGACAGAAAAGCTTGTTTCAGTAGCAGTAAACCCCCATTTTCTTGTAGAAATGGCAATTTCATTTGTGGTTTTGACTTTTTGATGTTGCTTCTTGGGATACTTTTATTAACTACTGCTATTAGCTGTTGATATGCCTTGTCTCATTTTGGTGCTGAAAGCAGGCATTTTTTCTTGTAACTTTGAAAAATACTCAGTTTATTTCTTGACTGCCACAACTTTTTTCCCCCCAGAAAGTTAAGAGTACTCATTTTAATGGTTTATGAACTATTAAACCAATAGGAAACAGTGTGGAGTAACAGAAGGAGCATTGGTTTTGGAATTGAGGGATGGTGGTTCAACTTCTTTCCTAACACTGCCTGTGTGACCTTGGACAAGACACTTAATTTGCCTGAGCCACAGTTTCCTTATCTGTAAAATGAGGGAATTGGCAAGAAGAACAAAACCCATTACAGATTTGTTTAGTCAGGCAAAATAAGTTCCTGCATTAACCACATCCCCCCAAAAAAAGAAATGCACTTAATAAGTGCTTGTTCTCTTCCCTCAGTCCCACCACCTCCCCCCATAAATTTGAACTACAGAGAAAGAGAGAGAGAGAGAGAGAGAAGAAAATAAAAAATAATTAAAGTGCCAAGGGACCAGTAACAACTGAGGACATCAAGACAGGCCTCCTAGTAGGAGCTGGGCACCCCAGCTGTTCTGTGAAAGAAGCTAAGGATTCTGTAGGTCAGAGGGACAGCAGTGGAGGGAAGAGGGAAAAGCCCATTCAAAGGCGTAGAGGTGGGAGACAGAACATTAACTCTGTTAGGTAGTCTGTACAAGTATTACTGTACTTGCTTGCTGACTTTTTATTCCTGCCTTTTAAACTTGAAAGCCCTTCTTCTATCATATTAGCTGGTATGTTAATGACTGTTCTCTAAATGCCAGCTAGGAAAGATTTTAAAGTTTAGAGGTACCCTCTGCAGCCTAGTAGAGACCAGCAAGCAAACACATCTGTTTCTTCCTCACTATTCAATTCTAGCATTTAATTACTGCAATAAGCCTTTACCTGTTCTTTCTGGTTTCATTCTTTCCTTACCATTCTGTATTGCACAGTGCCACTTAATAAATCTTTTTGAACCCTCTGCCCCCTTTTCATTATGCCATTTTATTTAGAAATTGATTATGACTTTGTTGTCTATCAGATCGTCTAAACACAGATAAAATACTTTCTATTTAAATGTTTTATTCTCCCCCATTAGATTATAATCTCTATAAGTAAGGTCTCTTTCATTTTAGTCTGTATCTTCAGCATTTAGCAAAGTGTAGCACCCTACTTAAAATAGATGCTTATTAATAACTGAAGAATTGGATGAAAATTCAGTTGATCCAAGAGATGCAGGGGAAAGAATACTGGCTGATTGTGATAAGTCCTCAGTTTTGCTCCTGAATTTACTACTTAAAAGCTTGTGGTTGTGAGTAAGTCACTCATCCAAGAGACTGTTTTCTCACTGCCTTGGCTACCTCATAAATTTATTGTTAGGATCAAATGAGATCATCTGTTTACTTCTACATACCATTTGACAGTTTTACCATTTGACAGTTTTCAAAGTTTTATTAGTGTCCAAGAAGATTATACAAGGTCAAGAGCAAACTGTTGACATGAGGAAGAATTGGTTTGACTTAATGTTAGTAGCAATGGCTAATGAAGTCCCCAAAGTGATTATTATATCATTACATGACAGATTTACTTAACTGTAAGTTTTTTTCTTTTTAAAAATTTTTTTATTAATTTATTTTGATTTATCAACAATCACTTCTCTAAGCTTTTGAGTTTTAAATTTTTCTCCTTCCCCTCCTCCCTCCCCAAGATGGCTCGCAATCTGATATAGGCTATACATATACATTCCTATTAAACATATTTTGACATTAGTGATGTTGTAAGGAAGAATTAGAACCAATAGGAGGAATCATCAGAAAGGAAACGAAGCAGAAGAAAAAAAATAGCAAATAGTATGCTTTGATCTGCATTCAAACTCCATAGTTCTTTCTTTGGATGTGGATAGCATTTTCCATCATGAGACCTTTGGAGATGTCTTAGATCCTTGCATTGCTGAGAAGGGTTAAGTCCATCAGTGTTAGTCATTGCACATCGTGGCTGTTGCTGTGTAATTGTTAGTTATTTGACTGTAACAATAAGCGCTAATACAATGTCTTTCTAGTTTGTTGTTCAAATATGGTATTAGGGTTGGTCCCAACTTAAAAAAAAAAGGAACTTTGATGAAGAATGTTGCCAAGAGTATTCCAGGATAGTGATTGTGATATTTTTTCCTTTTTTTTAATTTTAAAAACTTTTTAGCATTTTATTTTTAAATTTTGAGCATATACTTGGATCACAGTCACCAGAGAGACAAGTATGGAAAAAATCTTACCTTAGTTATCTCATCATGCTCGTATTACTCTTGCTGCTTTGGTGAGGAAATGCTAGGTCCTTTTCCACACAACAGGGCAGTTCTGTAATATGAACAAAGGCAAAGGGTTTTATAGGAAAAGCAGGGACCTTTTTTTTTTAAACTTATAAAAGTATTTATTTTTAGTTTCCAACATTCACTTTTATAAGACTTTGAGTTTTAAATTTTCCCCCCTCCCCCTTCCCAAGACAGCATGCAATCTAATATAGTCTATATATTTAAACATAATATACTTAAACATACTTCCATAAACTTAAACATAGTTCCACATTAGTCATGTTATGACGGAAGAATCAGAACAAAAGGGAAAAGCCACCAGAAAGAAAGAACAAAAAACAACAAAAAAGAGAAAATAGTATGCTTCGATTTGCATTCAGACTCCATAGTTCTTGCTCTGGATGTGGGTAGCATTTTCCATCATGAGTCTTTTGGAATTGTCTTAGATTACTGCATTGCCGAGAAGAGCTAAGTCTATCAAAGTTGGTCATTGCACCATGTGGCTGTTACTGTGTACAATGGTTCACCTGGTTCTGCTCACTTCACCCAGCATCAGTTCATGCAAGTTTTTCCAGGTTTTTCTGAAATGCGATATTTCTTTTTTATTTTATTTTATTTTTTGTGATATTTCTTTCAAGCAGTTTACTTTCAAGAACACTTCTTTAAGGACTATAAAATTTTGAGAATATTCCATGTGGATTCATCCTCTGCTTACTAATTCCTAGAGAAATGAGAACTGCCTGCTTTAGTTATAGTAAAGAAATAGTGCAAAAAAAAAAAAAAAGAAGGGAGGTGCTTCTCTCATTTTAAGGAAGTAGGTGAATTGCATTCTTGAGTTTTTAATTTGGATTGGATATTAACTTCTTTTTCCTTTTGCAGGTGTAATGGATAGGTAACAGAAGAATTTCACTTACTTGTCAAGGAGTCAAAATGACTGAGTGCTTCCTGCCTCCTACCAGCAGCCCTAGCGAGCACCGTAGGGTAGAGCATGGTAGTGGTCTTACTCGAACTCCCAGCTCTGAAGAGATCAGCCCTACTAAGTTTCCTGGATTATACAGGACTAGTGAGCCGTCACCTCCCCATGACAGCCTACATGAGCCTCCGGATATAGTGTCTGATGATGAAAAGGAACATGGAAAGAAAAAAGGAAAATTTAAGAAAAAGGAAAAAAGGAGTAAGTGGAATTTCTCTTTATACTTTACATGCAGTTTTCCAACACCGTCTTATTTAACTTTTTCCAATTTTCATTATATGTTTTAAAAGTTACTCTATACTAGAGCTTAAGCCTTATATTACAAAAAAGTTTCCATCCTTTTTTTTAATCTGAAAAAAATGTTACTATATAGTCAAAATGAAAAGCATAGTATTTCCACAAGGATATTTCAGTATTTACAGTTGAAAAGTTACTAACTGCTCGTCTCTGGGGGGAAAAGGAAAAGAAGGGCAGGTACAGACCCCCTCGGGCTTTCCTGGACCTATGGTCCCAAACTGAGACCTGACTGTTCCTATCTGTCTCCTCCTGGTTCCCCAGCATGGATCTGGGTAGGCCTTAGTGCACAGCTTCTTCCTGGCGACCAGAGGGTGCCTTGGCCCCTCTCCCCAGCGTGCACATATATTCCCTGTCCCCCTGTCTTGCCCTATGCTAGTTCATTTTGATTTTTTTTTAAAATCTACCTATCAAAGTCTGGTCTGTTTGGAGGGATTGTTTTGTTTTGGGTGGTCTTGCTGCACTGGTTCCTGCAGCCCTACCATCTTGGCTTATTTCCACTTAACCTCAGAAAGGTTGTTAGTTTCCTAATCTCTAAAATATGATAAGGTTTGTTCTACCTGCCCTGCAGAATAATAAGTGGGAAGCAGAGGCCTTTAAGATGTTTGTGACTCTTCTGTTCAATTCAGATATTTTTAATAAGTGTCCAGCTGTGCAGTGTGTCCAGTATGTACAAAGGTCAGAGTGAAGCGGCGTGACCTGGAGGAGGCTGAGTTCTGGGGTCATGCAGCCTGCCTGCACACAAGAGTCAGGCAGAGCAGTTTCAAGGAAGAAAATATTAGTAACTTAAATCCAGAAAGGTTAGGTGTGGGCTATGATGCCTGAGCTGTCCTTCGAAGGAAATTAGAGATTCTCAGAAGGGAGCACTTCTGGGCCTAGGAGACTGCTTTTGTGCAAAGGCAGGGGAGGCTAAAGTTGGGTAGATATGTCTGAGAAGGAGTTGAGAGGCCATTTTGACTGTAAAAGAGAGAGAGTGTGTGAGTGTGTGTGCGTGTGTGAGAGAAAGGGAGTAATAATGAAATAAAACTGGGAAGGTAGGTTGAAGCTAGAAGGCTTTAAATTCCAGGTTGAGGATCTTGCATTTTATCTTAAAGGAAATAGAGGACCATTGAAGATTTTTGAGTTGGAGGGAGGGGTGGTAGTGATGTGTTTGGGGTAAATGATGTAATTTTTACAAATTTCATTTACATAGCTTCCTAACTTTTCTTTCTGACTTCATCTTCTGTTTTCTCTAATCCATGCTTAACATAGTTCCTGAGAGAATCTTCCTGAGATAATCTTCCTAGTGCTTGGGTCTGACCATATCACTTCCATATCTGAAAGCCTTCAAAGGTTCCAAACTGCTTGCCAAATAAAGCATGAACTCCTCTGATTCTAGCATTCAAGGCCTCCTTCATATCCTGATCTAACTTTTCAGCTTTGTTACCCTGTTTCCCTTTATGTCCTTTATGTTGCAGGTGTTTAATTTGCTATTATTTGCTCTTCCATACTGTAGCACTTTTCAGAATTTATGTCTGTATCTATTACTTTGTGTGTAACCTGGAAAATCCTTTACCTATATTTCTGCTGGATGAAATTCTCTTTCTTTCAAACTCAAATCAGATGCTGCATCTTCTGTGATTTGATGATGCTTCCTGGTAGTTCTACGTCTCTTTCATCAAGAGGTGATCCCTCTCTTTGAATTTGTCGGTCCGTCCTGACCTCTCCTTTGTATTTCTTACATACTACTTTGTACTGTGTCTTATAAATGTTTTATCTCCTCTATTCAGTATGATTTCCTTGAGAGTAGGGACTGGGTCTTTTTTATGCTTAGAATCTAGCATATGGCCTTGTACTTTGTAGGTACTTAATGATATTGATTGAATTAGGAAAAAAAAATCATTTACACACAGCCAAGTATGTACAGAGATCTCTGGTTAGAAGAAAGAACACTGCTTCGGAGTCAGAAGACTGGGTTTAAATCTTAGCTCTGTGACCTGGCTGGTTCTATGACATTGGTCAGTTAAGTCATTTGATCCCTGTAAGGCCTCAGTTTCCTTATTGGTAGCTGTAACTTTGTGAATAATAATACTTCTACAGCCTGTCTGCTAGGATCCTAGGGTTTTTGTGAGAATTCAGTTAATATAGGTAAACCATGAAGCCAGCCCAGCCCATACTTGTATATGAATCTCCTCCTCTCTGTCTCTGACAAGTAGATGTTCAGGCCTCTACTTGGAGTCTTCCAGTGAACCCATGTTCTTCTGAGGAAGCACATTCCATTTTTGTACAACTTGAGTTTTTTATGAAAATTTTCCTTATATCAGGTGTAGAATCTGCCTCTACAGCTTTTCCCTGTTAATCACTGTCTTATTTAAGGGAGCCATCATGGAAGGGGAGGGCTGGCAGTTAGTTTCCTTTTTAAAATCTTATCTTTCTAGTTTTTGATGTAACACCATTCACACCCCTGCCCTCCCCTCCCCCATCTGAATGGAATGTTGTGAGATAGAGGCATAAGGGCACACTGAACTCAGCCAGAAAACTTGAATTACAGTTATTGGTTAACAAGGGTCTGTTAGTTCATTCCAGCTCTACAAATGTAACATTAATCAGACTTGAAGAGCCCTCAAAAGTTGAGTTTAGAGGAGATTTTATTGTTTTGGGGTTTTTTTTCCCTGTGTTTGTTTTTCTGTTATTAGTTGAGTGATATATCGCTACCCATGCAAGTTTGGTCAAAAATATCATAAGTGGTGGTAGAAGTGGGGAATCTCAAACTTTTTTTTTTAATTTGGCTAAAAGCCAAAGTGTAAATAAAGTGTCAACTATTGTATCTTACGTTTAAATAGCAGTCAAATACAATTTATTGTCTTTAAATATCCTTTGCATAAAGTCAGCAGTATTTGGTTTTTAATATAAATTTAGATGTTTGGGATTTTTAAAAAATTCCTGGCGGCAGGTAGGTGGCGCAGTGGATAGAGCACCAGCCCTGAAGTCAGGAGGACCTGAGTTCAAATCCGGCCTCAGACCAAATACTTGACATGTACTAGCTGTGTGACCTTGGGCAAGTCACTTAACCCCAATTACCTTACCAAAAAAAACAAAAACAAAAAATTCCTGTAACATGTTGAAACTTAACTTTGTTTTTTTATACATTTCTCCACTCTTCTTGGTTCCTTTTCCTGTTTGTGTGCCAGAGATAAATTTAGTTTAGGAAAAATAATAGATTCCAATAAAATAGGTCCATACCTTTTTTGCATCTTAATTCGTTTAATTATTTTTGCTTGCTTTTCATTGCCCATGTATTTTCTTTTTAAAATGCATTTTAGGAGTGTTGCTTTTAAGTGGTTCAATATGCTATTAGAGGGAATGACATGGAAGGAGCCTTTGTTTTGCAGAAAAGCTCAGTGCAGTAACTATATAGAAAAGGTTTCCTTAATGCATATAAATTGTGACGGTTTAAAAAATGTGATTTGCAGAGAGAACTTTTAAGGAACATATCTGTTTGCCTCTAAAATAAACATCAACCTATTTATTGGCAGGCCATGCTAATTGTCTAGCTGCATGTTGCCCTCTCGTGGCTAGAACATGTCACTGCAAACATTTTGTTTTCATGAAAGCAGAAATCAGTTTTCAGTATTGATAGGTTTCAAAAGGGATTATGTTAACACTGAGGACAAAGGCAGAGTGTTTAGTTTCAGTGGCAGACTGTATTCTGTTATCTGTTTTTTATAGCATGGTTATTGACCGTTTCTCAAATGGACTGACAGTTTTAGATATTAAAGATATAACGAATGTCCCCCACTTTTTCTGACAGCTGAAGGCTATGCTGCCTTTCAGGAAGACAGCTCAGGAGATGAGGCAGAAAGTCCTTCCAAAATGAAGAGGTCCAAGGGAATACATGTCTTTAAGAAGCCGAGCTTTTCTAAAAAGAAGGAAAAGGATTTTAAAGTAAAAGAGAAACCCAAAGAAGAAAAACATAAAGAAGAAAAGCACAAGGAAGAAAAACATAAAGAGAAGAAGTCAAAAGACTTGACAGCAGCTGATGTTGTTAAACAGTGGAAGGAAAAGAAGAAAAAGAAAAAGCCAACTCAGGAGCCAGAAATGCCTCAGGTTGATGTTCCAAGTCTCAGACCCATTTTTGGGATACCTGTGGCTGAAGCAGCAGAGAGGACCATGATGTACGATGGCATCCGCCTGCCAGCAGTTTTTCGTGAATGTGTAGATTATGTAGAGAAGTATGGCATGAAATGTGAAGGCATCTACAGAGTTTCAGGTATTGTGTCTCTATAACTAACTAGCTGTGGTTAAAAAAAAAATCTTCATTCATCAAAGGAAGAAACAGGATTAAATTTAGATGATTTGTGGTTTTTGCTCTAGTGTGAAGTTCATTTTCTTGATTTTTCAAATTGGAAAAATTGTATTTGATATTTGGGCACTATATTTCCTGTACCATATTTCTTTCCATTAGTATGATTCACATTTGAGTTATTTATAAATAGGTTTGTATTATGCCAGTTATATATTCCGCTGTGGCCCAGTGGTGTAGAAAATGAGACAAAAAGTAGAGTTTGTGGAGAGTGTCTCCTAATCTGGACCCTTCCATATTCCCACTTTCCTTCTTGCATCTCACCCTCATCCCCCTCCCCCAGCAGTGAGGCACTTGGACGTAGGAGTGGTAGGAGAGCAGGGACAACATCCTGGCAGCAAAACCACCTAGTGGGAGAAAGGAGAAAAGCTATATTTTCTAGAAGCCCCTGAGTTAAAAGACATATCTTGTCATCATCACCGAACAGGAGGAGCGTATTTCCCCCAGGTAAGGGGCATAACATTTTGGTCTTAAAATTTCTAGGCCAAAACATTAAATAGTACTTTCAGGCATGTATAGTACTTACGTGTACAGATGTGGTTTCCATTTGTCTAACAGAAATTTATTGTGTCCTTTATGGAGGACCTCCCATCATCCAAAATGTGTTGCTCTTAAAGAATATGCTATTGTAGCTCAATGTGAATCATGTATGAGGCATGATTGATATAATAAAATCCGTGCCCTCTATAACAAGGCAACTTGTCTGCTTAAATGTTCATATTCAACTTCTTAGCGTATGATCAACTTCAGTTTTCACATTTATGTTAAAAAATGCAGTGCTCTTTTCACACATTTGTTTGACCATTGAGTTGCTAAAATAATGATTTGGGGAGATGGGAAAGCCCGGGGAAAACCAGAAAATAACACGTTTCTGAATTTTGTATGAAAGTTTTGGCACTTGTGTCATAAAATTTTTTGATTACTAGAGATGGGAAAATTGTTTCTTCATTTTCCAGGAAATAAAATTGAGATTTTGAATTTGGATTTGAAATCTTTGAAATAACTCTTTGATAACAATGTCAAAATAGCATTTAAAGAAGTTTGAAAGTTTGGCCTTTGTTTAAGTAAGAATTTGCTTTTTAAAAAATGTGCAAATTATTAGACAGCTGTGTAGCAAGCTGCTTGATTTAGGTGATCTTGACTGGCATATAACTGTCTCTGTACAGACTAAACAGCTTCTCCACTGGGAGTCTGACACTACAGAACTTTTGTAAAGTCCATTCTTTTGTCAGTGGCCTATTTTTGATGATAGGGCTCTCTGGGTATTCTCAGTGGTAGCAATCTCCTTTCTTGTGTATGTATGTAAAATCATTTAAGGTTAGCTGTTCCCCTATAAATTGAAGGCTAAGCTGATTCTTTTATTGATCGAAATAACTTTGTGGCCTATTCTGGAGTAGAGGTGTGTCATGTTTAACATAGCTTATGTGATAACTATGGTTTTTTTTTTTCCTTTTTGGAAACTTTCAGCATAATTAATAAGTAATAGACATTGATTTCTGTGTACTGTGGTATGTTTGGTTTTTGTAGATTCATTTGCAATTCTAATTTAAAACTCATGAAATTTCATTTTATACAGTTGGATTGAACTTGTATGTGATAGCACATCAATGCCTATCCATATTATCTTTCTCTATGGAATTTCCTATGTAAATTTTTTAACAGGAAAAATTTGGGAAAAAATTTAAAGCTCTTATTAAAAAAAAAAAACTCAACAAATTTTTATTAAATGACTATCCATGCAGTGCATGGTGCAATGGGTAGAAATTATGTAGGGCAAAGATTCTGTAAGGACATGAATAAAATAATGTACAGTTATCATCTCCATGCATAGTTTATAAGCACTGCTACAAAGCTATGAATTCAAGTTGGACATTTGGTTAGAAGTAGATAAAAAGGAATGTTTAATTGCAAATTTATTTCCTCCCATAAAAAAATCTCAAACTAGGGCTTGTTTTGTTGCATTAATATTATTGCACTTATTTTATCATTGCTGTAATCATAAATATGATGAAGCTGATTATTTAGGTATTTACTGAATATTAAGCAAATGTCAGTAATTCTAGGAATGAAGTAGTTTTTCAGCATCGTATTTGCACTTATAGTTGTAAATTTTTCACTCATTTTTCATACTTTTGACCTCTAAATTTAGATAAAATTTAAAGCAGGAGTATCTTGCCAAATCTTATATGATAGGTGTTAAAAACATAGCTTTATAAAACCAAGAATTATTTTATATTTTCCCTTGAATAAGATGAACCAAATACAAATATATGTCGTATAGCATCCTGAAAGTCAAAAGACTTATCACATCTCTAAACCAAAAAAAAATCAAAGCATTGTTTAAGTAAAAACACATCTTCCGTCTTCCATTTTCATTTTTGTCCTAGACAAGACAAAGTGTAACACACTCTTTGTTTTAAGAAAATATTTGTTAGGGGCAGCTAGGTGGTGTAGTGGATAGAGCACCAGCCATGAAGTCATGAGGACCTGAGTTCAAATATGGCCTCAGACACTTGATATTTACTAGCTGTGTGACCCTGGGCAAGTCACTTAACCCGATTGCCTAGCCCCCCCATAAAATATTTGTTAAAAAAAATTACCTAAAATGTCTTTAAATTAGTAAGGTGATCTTGTAAATCACAAAAGGATGCATGCCATAAGGCTGATTTTGTTTACAAGCTCCCCTTTCCCATTTGAAATGTTAGCCTTTTTTTCAAATTTTGATTATTTGACTTTCCAAAACTTTTCAGAAATGCATCTCTGTACATCTACACATGCCAAGTTCTGTTATTTATATTGCTTAGTGTGTTTTTTTTTTTAAAGGGGGTGGGGAAAACATTGGACTATAAACATTTTCATTAATGGTCCTCACTCTTAGCAGTGGCATAGGAATGAATGATACATTTAATTAGGGAAGTGAACATTTACAGCCTGGAGCATGATACCTATTTCTTTTATTTTTACTAGTATTATTACCTATTTGACTGGTTTGGGTTTTAAATCTTACTTTGAGGGGCAGCTAGGTGGCACAGTGGATAGAGCACTGGCCCTGAAGTCAGGAGGACCTGAGTTCAGATCCGGCCTCAGACCAAACACTTGACGTGGGCAAGTCACTTAATAACCCCGATTGCCTCACTTAAAAAATAAATAAATAAAAATCGTACTTTGAGTGAAGTCCCTTCCATCTCTTTAAGAAGAACCTGAGTAGTTAGCCCCATAAATATTACTATATCTTGGCTTAGAATCTTTAGGTATTGGTGAAGACTCTAGTATTTATAACTAAATAGTAAGGCTTATTAATTGTTAGATTCTGATTGAATATGGGCATGTAAGGCAAGCTTTAGTATTTTATTTGAAGGTAAGTCATCAAGTTGGTGATCTTTTATGCAAGTAAACAATTTAGCAGCAGATAGTTTGTTACTGGTCTTGTTGGTTGGAGTTGGTTTAACCTGGCAGGAATGGGAAGAGTTGTGGAATGAAGAAGAAAGCTTACAAATCGGTTTGTTTTAGTCAACTTAAGTGTGTTTGATTACTTTTTTTTTTTTTTTGGTGTTCTCTTTTTAAAATCCATGTATTTTAAGGAATAAAATCAAAGGTGGATGAGCTAAAAGCAGCCTATGACCGAGAAGAATCTCCAAACTTGGAAGAGTACGAACCTAATACAGTAGCCAGTTTGCTGAAGCAGTATTTGCGAGACCTTCCTGAAAACTTGCTTACCAAAGAGCTTTTGCCCAGATTTGAAGAGGCTTGTGGGAGGAACACAGAGGGTGAGAAAGTGCAGGAATTCCAGCGCTTGCTGAAAGAGTTGCCAGAGTGTAACTATCTTCTGATTTCCTGGCTGATTGTGCACATGGACCATGTTATATCAAAGGAATTGGAAACGAAAATGAACATACAGAATATTTCTATAGTGCTCAGCCCTACCGTTCAGGTACTTGATCTTTTGTAAAGAAAACTTGTGTGGATCGTATGAAATGTCAGAGGGCTTAGGCCTAAACCTTCTGTTAGTGCACCTCATAATAAGCAATTAAGAGTAAAATGAGTATTGTATTACATATATAAGTGTCATACTAGGTTCAGGTCACGGAGGGACCTGTGCGCATCATCGAGGTGGCCACATTTAGCCTTCAGTATAGTTATGTGATTTGAACATTGCAGAAACTTGGGTATGAAAATATAAACTATATCACAATGACAGTGACCTATTATTAAGAGGGAGGAGCCCATAGCACATATTTTAAAGTTTTTAATTATCTCATCAAACATTGCCTAATTATATCGTATAAATAAAACACTTAAAATACTGTTCCCAGGGCTGTTTTGTTTGTGCAAGAAGGAAGTCAAATGACCTTGCTGGAAAATTGGCTTAGTCATGCTTTGACTTTAGCATTTCTTTGTATAACAATGGATGCTAGAAAAGCATTTTATCATTTTGTAATTGGAGCAAAGATAAGCTTCTGTGAGAGAATTGGGTGTTAATTGAGGGGTTTTTGTAACAGCAGTAATTGGTCTTCATTCTTTTGTATGATAAAGATACAAAATCTTGCCAGGACTTGTGCTATCATGTTTTTCACCTCATTCAGTTTTGGGTAGTTTATTACCCTGGCTAAATTGAAATGATCAATATTTATATTCTTTGCATTTTTATATAATGTATTGATATGCTCAGGTTACTCTAATCTAGAATTATTGTTAAGAAGTGCAACCAAGTTGGAAATCAAGAGTTTCTTTTTGCTTTTGCCAAATATCTTTTGTATTGACATTTTGTCATGCTGTATTGGAAGCAAAATGTAGACCTTTACTTTTCGTATTTTCTGTCTGTTAATAATTAGGCACAATATCAGAATCTGTAACTTGTTACCATGATACTCAACAGCATTATATTAGGACTATTACATTAGTTAATATTATTATTACATTATTACTATTATATTAGGATTATTACAGTTGTATGGATCCTATTTAAAATAAGTTCTAGGAAAAGAATAAGAGCTTATTTGAAAAGTATTTTTAGCAAAATTAATGTTAATGTCTTACCAGAAAATTACCAAAAGAGAAATTCCAAAAGGAAAAAGTTGATAGGGAACCATTTGCAATACTTCTTGAACAAACTTTAATGGTATGTATGCATTTATATTTAAAGATGAGCACTTATAATTATGAGCTCTCCAGTATGGTGATAGTTCTCTTAGCCCTCTCTCTAGTTCCAGTTTTGTTCATTGAAACACAGCATCCCCCATTACGTTCTTGAAAATGTTAACAGGAGATTTTTATTATGATGGGCTTATAGTAATAGCAGTGTATAAGTAGAAATGAGTCATTGACTTCTACTTTTTATTTTTGACTATCATTTGCAGTGTTGTAGGTAAAGATGACTTATTTTTTTCTGTATTAGTAATTAATAGCTGTCCACTGACATTCAAATGAAGTTTGTCTAACCCTTAAATAGTGAGTAAAATAAATTACCCTGTAAAGGGGATTTTTCATTCAGGTGTGGGTTGAATTAGGTCTCTGAGAAACCTGCTCTAAGATTGTCTTTTCAGCAATACTAAGGAAAGTTGCAATTATAAAAATTGTTTGGAAATTTTTTTCTCTTTTTAGATAAGTAACCGTGTCCTGTATGTGTTTTTTACACATGTGCAAGAGCTCTTTGGAAATGTAATCCTAAAACAGGTGACTAAACCACTTCGATGGTCTAACATGGCCACTATGCCAACACTGCCAGAAACACAGGAAAGCATCAAGGAGGAAATCAGAAGACAGGTTTGCACCATATATATAATGTATTACATACATGAAATTTTTTTAGCCCAGTGAATTAACTAACATTTGGCCTCTTAGATCAAACCTTTGATGTGAGTATTTCAGTGCTTCACTGCCCTATAGGAGGTAAAGAAAGAAGTTTATAATTTGTTGATATATCCAGCACTAGACACAAGAATGTTACATGCCTTCATTAAATTGTATTTCTGGCACATGATTAGTACTGTTTTGTATGTGTTCTTTTGACTGATGTGGTTTTTCTCATTTTTCAGTTCGAGTGTTTTGTATTCATTGACTTAGAGTTAGTATAGTTAAATAAAAAAATTAAACTGTAACCTAACACAACAGCAAAAATCATCCCTTGGCATTTGAAAATTGGCAGACAGTAACACATAAGGGGTTGTACAGTCTTTGAGCCTTCGTTATGACACACAGGACTCACCTTAGCACAAATAAATATCTTTGTGTCATGGAAAGTGGAATTTTCTCACTTTAAAGTAATACTAAAAATTTTTCAACATTGTGCATCTTTACATGTTGTAGTTTAGGCAAATACTTTGCCCATTGCTATTCCCAGCTGTGACCTTGTGCCATTTAGAAGTTTTACTGTAATGTAGATAATGAAACATAAGTTTACAGTTACAAATTACAGACTGAAGAATAATTAATTGTTACTAGAAAATTTGATTTAGAACTTAACGGTTTGGTGTTGTAAGCAATTGAGGATCAATTAAAGACAGATATTTCAGGTAACACCACCACCAACCCACCCCCCCCCCCCCCCCCCCCCCCCCCCCCCCCCCCC